GGGGGGAGAGGGGAGGAGGGGGGAGGGAGGGGGAGGAGAGGGGGAGGAGGGAGGGAGGAGGGGAGGGAGGGAGGGAGGGGGAGGGGGGAGGAGGGGGGAGGGGAGGGAGGGGGGAGGGGGAGGGGGGGGAGGAGAGGGAGGGGGAGGGGGAGGGAGGAGGGAGGGGGGAGGGGAGAGGGAGGGGAGGGGAGGGGAGGAGGAGGGGGGAGAGAGGAGGAGAGGGAGGGGAGGGAGGAGAGGGGAGGAGGGGAGGGAGGGAGGAGGGAGGGGGGAGGGAGGAGAGGAGGGGGAGAGGGGAGGGAGGAGGGGAGGAGAGGGAGGGGAGGGAGGGGGGAGGAGAGGGGGGAGGAGGGGAGGAGGAGAGGGAGGAGGGAGGGGGAGAGGAGGGGAGGGGGAGGAGGAGGGGGAGGGAGGGGGAGGAGGGGGGAGGGAGGGGAGGGGGGAGGGGAGGGAGGGGGGGGAGGAGGGGAGGGAGGGGGGAGGGAGGGGAGGGAGAGGGGAGGAGGGGAGGGGGAGGGGAGAGGAGGGGAGGGGAGAGGGGGAGGGGGGGAGAGGGAGGGGGGAGGAGGGAGAGGGAGGGGGGAGGAGGGAGGGGAGGGGAGGAGGGGAGAGGGGAGGAGGGAGGGAGAGGAGGGAGGGGAGGAGAGGAGGGGGGAGGAGGGGAGGGAGGAGGGAGGGGGAGGAGGGAGAGGAGGGAGAGGAGGGGAGGGGGGGAGGGAGAGGAGGGGGGGAGGGGGAGGGAGGGGAGAGGAGGGGAGGAGGGGGAGAGGGGAGGAGGGGAGGAGGGAGGGGGAGGGGAGGGAGGGGGGGGAGGGGAGGAGGGGAGGGGAGGGAGAGGGGGAGGGAGGGGAGAGGAGGGGAGGAGGGGGAGGAGGAGGGGAGGGGGAGGGGAGAGGAGGGGGGGGAGGGGGGAGAGGGGAGGGAGGAGGGGAGGGGAGGGGGGGGAGGGAGAGGGGAGGAGAGGGGAGGGGGGAGAGGAGGGGGGGAGGGGAGGAGGGGGGGAGGGAGGGGAGAGGGGGAGGGAGGAGGGGAGGGGAGGGGAGGGGGGGGGAGGAGGGAGGGGGAGGAGGGGGGAGGGGAGGAGGAGGGGGAGGAGGGGGGAGGGAGGGGAGGGGAGGAGGGGAGGGGAGGAGGGAGGGGAGGAGGGAGGGAGGGAGGGGAGGAGGGGAGGGAGGAGAGGGGAGGAGGGGAGGGAGGGGAGGGGGGGAGGGGAGGGGAGGGGAGAGGAGGGGGAGGGGGGAGGAGGGGAGGGAGGAGGGGGAGGAGGGGGGAGGGGGAGAGGGAGAGGGGAGGGGGGGAGAGGGGAGGGGGAGGAGGGGAGGAGGGGAGGGGAGGGGAGGGGAGGGGAGAGGGGGAGGGAGGGGAGAGGGAGGGGAGGGGGAGGAGGGGGAGAGGGGAGAGGAGGGAGGAGAGGGGGAGAGGGGGGAGGGGGAGGGAGAGGGGAGGAGGGGAGGGAGGGGGGGAGAGGGGAGGGGGGGAGGGGAGGAGGGAGGGGGAGGGGAGGAGGGAGGGAGGGAGGAGGGGGGGAGAGGGGAGGGGAGGGAGGGAGGGGGGAGGGGGAGAGGGGGAGGGAGGGGAGGAGAGGGAGGGGAGGGGGGGGAGGGAGGGGGGAGAGGGAGAGGGGAGGGGGGGGGAGGAGGGAGGAGGGAGGGGAGGAGGGGAGGGAGGGGAGGAGGAGGGGAGGAGAGGAGGGGAGGGGGAGAGGAGGGGAGGAGAGGGAGGGAGGGGAGGGAGGAGGGGGAGAGGAGAGGGAGGGGGAGGAGGGAGGGAGGAGAGGAGGGAGGGGGAGAGGAGGGAGGGGAGGGGAGAGGGAGGGAGGGGAGGGGAGAGAGGGAGGGAGGGGGAGAGGGAGGGAGGGGAGGGAGGAGGAGGGGGAGGGGAGGGAGAGGGGGGGAGGGAGGGAGGGAGGGGGGAGGGAGAGGGGGAGGGGAGGAGGGAGGGAGGGGAGGAGGGAGAGGGAGGGGAGGAGAGGGAGGAGGGGGAGGGAGAGGAGGGGAGGGAGAGGGGAGGGAGAGGGGGAGAGGAGGGGAGGGAGGGAGAGGGGAGGAGGGGGGAGGAGAGGGGGAGGGAGAGGAGGGGGAGAGGGAGGGGGAGGAGGGAGGGGGAGGGGAGGGAGGAGAGGGGAGGGGGAGGGGAGGAGGGGAGGAGGGAGGGGGAGGGAGAGGAGGAGGGGAGGGAGAGGAGGGGGGGAGGGAGGGGAGGGGAGAGGGAGGGGAGGAGGGAGGGAGAGGAGGGGGAGGAGGGAGGGGAGAGGGAGGGGGAGAGGGGAGGAGGGAGAGGGGGAGGGAGGGAGGGAGGAGAGGGGAGGGGGGAGGGGGGAGAGGAGGGGGAGAGGGGGGAGGGGGGAGGAGGAGGGAGGAGGAGGAGGGGGAGGGGGAGGAGAGGGGGGGAGGGGAGGGAGGAGGGGAGGGAGGAGGAGGGAGGAGGGAGGGGAGAGGGGAGGGGAGAGGGAGGGAGGAGAGGGAGGGAGGGGGAGGGAGGGGGAGGGGAGAGGGAGGGAGGGGGAGGAGGGAGGAGGGGAGGAGAGGGGAGGAGGGGAGGGGGGAGGGAGGGAGGGAGAGGAGGGAGGGGGAGGAGGGGGAGGGGGAGGGAGGGGGGAGGGAGGAGGAGGGAGGAGGGGAGGAGAGGAGGAGGGGGGAGGAGAGGGAGAGGGGGAGGGAGGGAGAGGGAGGGGGGAGGGGAGGGAGAGGAGGGAGAGGGAGGGAGGGGAGGAGAGGGGAGGGGAGGGGAGAGGGAGAGGAGGGGGAGGGGAGAGGGGAGGGAGGGAGAGGGGAGGGAGGGGGGAGAGGGAGGGGGAGAGGAGGGAGGAGGGAGGAGGGGAGGGGAGAGGAGGAGAGGGGAGGAGGGGAGAGGGGAGAGGGAGGGAGAGGGAGGGAGGAGGGGAGAGGAGGGGAGAGGGGAGAGGAGGGGGAGGGAGGGGAGAGAGGAGGGGGGGAGGGGGAGGAGGGAGGGGGAGGGAGAGGGGAGGGAGGGGAGAGGAGGGAGGAGGAGGAGGGAGGGGAGGGGAGAGGGGGGGAGAGGAGGGGAGGAGGGAGGGAGGAGGGAGGGGAGGAGGGAGGGGGAGAGGAGGGGGGAGGGGGAGGGGAGGAGGGGAGGAGGGAGGGAGGGAGGGGAGGAGAGGGGAGAGGAGGGGAGGGGGAGGAGGGAGGGAGAGGAGGGGAGGAGGGGGAGAGGGAGGGGAGGGGAGGGAGGGGAGAGGGGAGGGGGGGGAGGAGGGGGGGGAGGGGGAGGGGAGGGGGAGAGGGAGGGGGAGGGAGGAGGGAGGGGAGGGGGAGGGAGGAGGGGAGGGGGAGGGAGGGGGGAGAGGAGGGAGGGAGGAGGGGGAGGGGAGGGGGGAGGGAGGAGGGGGGAGGAGGGGAGGGGGGAGGAGGGAGAGGGAGGGGAGGAGGAGGGGGAGGGGAGGAGGGGGAGAGGGAGGGGAGGGGGAGAGGAGGAGGGGAGGGGGAGGAGGGGGGAGGGGGGAGAGGGGAGGGGAGGGGAGAGGGAGGAGGGAGAGGGGAGGAGAGGAGGGGGGAGAGGAGGAGAGGAGGAGAGGAGGGGGAGGAGGGGAGAGGGAGGAGGGAGGGAGAGGAGAGGAGGGGAGGGGAGGAGAGAGGGGGAGGAGAGGGAGGGAGGGAGAGGGGGAGGGGAGGAGGGGAGGGGAGAGGAGGGGAGGAGGGGAGGAGGAGAGAGGGGGGGAGGGAGGAGAGGGGAGGAGAGGGGAGGAGGGGGAGAGGGAGGAGGAGGGAGAGGGAGAGGGGGGAGGGAGGGGGGGAGAGGGAGGGGAGAGGGAGAGGGGAGGAGGAGGGAGGAGGGGAGGAGGAGGGGGAGGAGGGAGAGAGGGAGGGGGAGGGAGAGGGAGGAGGAGAGGGGGAGAGGAGGGGAGGAGAGGGGAGGAGAGGGGAGGGGGAGGGAGGAGGGAGGAGA